TTTTACCCATTTTTTCTTTGAGTTCTCTCAAAATAGCTGTTTTACCGACTCTAAGCTTCTCTGCCATTTCTTGAGAGGTCTGCTTTGGATTTTTATCCAGAAGAGCCTGTATATTCTCTCAATGTATCACTCTTGGTCGGCCCGAGGAAGTTATCTTTAGGTCAAAGTCGCCATTTTTGAACTTCAGAAACCATTTTTGCACACTTCTAATACTCACTGCTTGTTCCCCGTAAACTCTGCATATGTTGCTCGAGGCTTCGATAGCTGTTTTGCCCTGATTGAACTCGTCTTATATTAAAGCTGAATGTCTGTTTGTATGTCTGTATGTATGTCTGGCTGTCTGTATGTACGTATGTTCCGAATAGAAATTTTTATTTTTGAACCGATCGACCAAACTTGGCACACATACACTTCGGGCCCCAGCGGGTGTCATAGGCTACTTTTCGTCATCGAATATCGATTTTATCGATTTTTTGGAAAATTTGAGCTACGGGGCTGGGAGTTGACTCAGGGGGTAATCGAGCATGCTGATTACGAATACACGAATATACGAATATTAGTCTTTAAGATCGTCCACCACTTTTATCGATTTTATCGATTTTTTGCAAAGTTTGAGCAACGGGGCTGGGAGTTGGCACAGGGGGGTAATCGAGCATGCTGATTGCTAAAACAGCGGGAATAGTGATTTGGCATGTAGGCGTGGGCACAGGGAAAGGTTCGTACAGGAATAGGGATAGTGTTCTTTGACATAGTGTTTTGACAGGGCCGGGCGGAGCCGGGTAAGCCAGCTAGTACATCATACAATGTCGCAAATGAAGCTTTCGATCATCCATGATTTGCAATCATTCTTTTTAAAGTTTAATCGACTATTAGAAACAAGTGGGTAAGCAATTTTTGCAACCCACCTTTGTCGAATCAGTTTGAATTTGATTTATTTGGTGCGACCTACGGCTCAACTACTGGAGTACGAATTGAGACAATGACCAAAATGGCAAAAATTTTCGCCTTGTATACAGTAATATAAACCTAAGGTCTGGCGTATCATCAACTCAAAAACTATTTAGTGATGTTTGGATTTTATTCTGAGACATTTTAGTGTTTTTGGTAAATGCTCGAAAATTGCCAGTTTTGAATATTTTCTTCAATTGGTCGTAACTCTCGCACCATAGTACTGTACAAAAAATTCTCTATCAAACAAAAATACTTTCAGAATTTTTTGTGATCCTGCTTGAAAAATGAAAAGCTTGACTGATTTCATTCACTGGCTTCTAACTTTCGAACCTTCTTATAATAATCCATGATAAAAACACTGCTGTAAAGAGGAAGGTTTTCCCTTCGAAACAAAAATGAGAAAAATTCACAGAAAAGGAAGGAAGTTATGATTTTTTGAAAATCTGGCGAACGAACTTTTGGACCCAGCTAATACATTGAGTAACATCCCTAAAATATTAAGGCAAAAGCGGAATATTACGTTTTTATAGCTTTTTGACGCTGCAGTGAAGGTCTTTGTAAAAATGTTCCCGGAATTTAGGACTACATTTCTCACGTAACTTCTTTTTAGGGGTGGGGGAACGAAAGCCGCCAGGTCCAGCCGCCTTTCGCGGCCAGCTGGTCCTTTCGCAGCGTTGTTGCATGTCGATCCAGGACCAGGGGTCCGCGGATGCGGCTGGACCTGGCGGCTTTCGTTCCCCCACCCTCTTTTTAGAGCACGATTGAGAGTTCACGAAAGCTTTGGAGTGCAATAAAAACGTGCAACAGCGCCGAAATCTTGCGCAGAGATTTGCGCAGGGAAGTGCTGGTTTATCTCGTTAATGAGTGAGTTTCAACACGTTTCGGAACGGTGCTGCAATAAAAGCTTTGGTGCAGCGTTCAAAGCAGCGTGCTGCACATGGTGCAGCACGCTGCTTTGAATAATCTTTTTGACGTTTACAGGAGGCTTTCTGTTAGTCCAAGGTTATCAAGTCAAAGGCCTGAGCTTCTACTTTTCAAAAGACTCTGTAGAGTTGTGCCGCCGACATTTGTTTAGGAGATATGAGCACAAATCGAACAACAGTTGCAACGAAGTGCGGCGACGCGAATGACGCGTGCGACGTCGCAACTTTCCTTTGCTTCGATATCAAAGAGAAAAACCGTAGTTTCAATACTGATGTGTACCGTTTAAACATAGATACTTTTGGATACTATTAGAAACTAAGTTCTTGTTCCTATCTTTTAGAAGAGCATAGTACCTTCACAAACGATAAAATCTAAACACTTCGAAACCATTCAGAACTCTGGGTATGGAACTTAAAAAAAATCTGACAAGCTGATTATAGATGTAGCATTTAGTCTAAGAATTGAGGCCCCTTTGTTGGCTAATGGCTAAAGTGCACACTTTTTCGCCGCGCGCGATTTTGCGGTCCGAAACGTGTTAACGCCAGTGACGTTGTCACTGTTAGTAGTCGTGTCATGACGATCAGAATGGTATATAGTGTTGCATGGTTTCGTCAAGATCCCGCGGAAATCACTAGAGCCAAAGTAGACTCTGGTCTTTCTCCTTTGCTCGCCTGCGTCTCCGCGCGTTGCGCCCCACCTCGCTACCCCAAACACGGGACACGGGCACTTTTTTCATCGTTGTTCTGGGCCAAATTTCAGCAAACTGTATATCATATTGAAACTTTGATCTCTTCCTTCACGCTGACAGCGTCCGATCTCATTTTCTGATTTCGAGGAATCAGGCAAAAGCCGTGTTTTCGAAAGTTTCTGGTTTTTCTCTGATATAACTTATTTCCACCCGTTTTTTGGTGCATCTGATAGAACTTGATTCTTTTTAAATTGTAGACAAATTCCCAGAGCTTACTTCTTCAGTTATGGCCGTATCTTTGCGAAAGGTCGTAAAAGTGCATTTTTCTTCAAGTTGTTCCCTTCCCATGTTTTCGCGAATTGTTTCCAACTTGGGCGATTATTGCTCAAAATAATGGGCGCAAAAATCCAAACAACGTCTCAGGAAACAGGAGCGCTAATGCGGGGTAAAAATTTGAAGGACGCCTCAAAAACTAGGTTGGCTTTGACCTGCACTCCGACTCAAAATTGACAACTTTGCGTTTTCATGAGCAATTCTCTCCTTGTTCATCTTCTCCACTTCCGAAACACGATTCTTTTGGAAACAAAGAAGAAATTTGATTCTCCTCGTTTCCCTCTTGTGGATTGCCCGGTCTTGGAAAGAGATTGCACTTCGAAATGCCGCCAAGTGAAAGATTTCAAACCAACCGCAGCGTTCTCATCCGGACTTTGAACTTCTTTTGCTTTTTATCTGTTTTACATCTTTTCTCCTTTCTGTATTTCTATAAAAAATCTTCACTTTTCAGGGGCAGATATTCTAACAACCTTCACTTTTGACGGCCTTTTTAGACTATCGAATGTATGGCTCAGCCAGTTTTTAAGCATACTCAAGTTATTTTGGGGCATCTAAAATCAAGAATTCTTAGCAAAAGTGATAGCTGGCAGTGCCTCTAATAGGCAATGTCTTCTCTCTTTCAATCTGTCTCTCTTGTAAGCCAAATACAAACATTTTTCACTAATCCACGGGTTTTTAAGCTCTTAGTTTCCCCAACTGCTAACTTGGCCTTGGATTTTAAGTGTTTATATTACAGTAAATTTCGCCACAATTTAGTCAGGATTTAGAAATGCTTCGTTAGATGGGTTGATATGCGATAAATACAAATTCTGCTCCTGTGCATTAACCTAACAGTTGTTTGATAGAACTCTCAGATAGCACAGTAACTAAATACTTAAGCTATAAAATCGTAATCTGTCTTTCATTCAACACGTTACACGCATCGTAACAACGGATGCACGAACATGAATAGTACGAATTGAGAGTGAGCAGAAACATCACTGGTCCTGTGGACTGATATGCAAAGCCGATAACGGTGAATTTTTGTAGAGGACTAGGTGCCTCAAGCCCGTGACCGAGTAGAACTATCGAATACTAAAGTAAATGTGTTTGCGACTAATTCAAGTTAGTTAGTTAGTTATTTAGTTCAGTTCGACTAAGTTCTTACATAAACTCCTCGTTCTAAATTACGATTACTTGTTAGCTTACATCAAGTGTCATTGGCAGCACTTGGTGGGTGATTGGGAAGGTTATGGCCTCATTTACTTTCGATTCCAATTTGGGGCTTTTTTCTTTGTTTAATGATGCCGCCAGACACGAAGGCCATTAAATCAACAAAGTTCGAGTTATTTCATGCTCTTCATTGCTTTCTGTGGTATGGAGCACAATCAACACAGCTCTCTGAAAGTCTCTTTTTCAGATGTTGGCTCAAACACCGTTATTTACAGAAACTTTGCACACTTAGAACAGTGTTGCTCTAGTTTCTTTTACAGGTATTTATTTTCATAAAGGCGATCCTGTTTTGAAATCGTGCCTCGGAAACCAACAGATCCAGATCTAAGACTTTTTCTTCCACTTTATAAAGAGTAATTTTCTTCAAAGGCTTTGAAAATGTGCACAGTCCTACGGAAGAACTTGCGCAATAGTAGTTTTAGCGCAAAAGTATCCTAATAGAAGGCTACTGCAAAACTTTGCTATACCGACAATACTTAGGACATCTGATAATAAGAAAACGAGAAGCTGTTGGTTTTTGAGTGTCAAAATATTGGGTTGAATAAAAAAAGCAGTTTCCTCCTTCTTAGACGAACCGAAGGAAACAAGGTCTACTCTCGAACTTCCAGCAGCATCTTCTTGAAAAATTTCTTTTAATTGAAAACGTCCTTAGGCTGGGTTCATATCGATTCCCATGTTCTGGAACTGTTCCCGCACAGTTCCAGCACAGTGCGAGAACTGTGCGGGAACAGTTCCAGAACATGGGAAGTTTGAACCCAGCCTAGGGATCGGTGAGCTCTACAAAACAGGAAGAAATTTGAATTGTCAAAATTTGCGTTCGAAGTGATTGAGGCCAGGAAATTCAAACACTCTACAAGAAACTGACAAAGACGTGATAAACTCAAATTACCACTCAACTAGATATAAATGGATTGTGGCTGTAAGGATGCAACTGACTCAACGGATTCTCAGGGTAGAAGTACTTCATGACGACGAAAACAGGCCAGTGAATCAGATACAGTGCATAAGATATTTCTCCGACATATACAATGTCTGGTCTGGTAAGTACAGGTACCTAAATTTACTGCACGTAACCTCAAGAAGACGTTGTAACGACTTTGCCTTACCTGGTATCTCTTTCCTGCAACGATAAGTACCGCTGTCAATATGGTTGTCTCCACGCGAAGAAAATCTTTTGGTAAAATTATTCCAAAGAATGGTAGTGAAACGGCAAGAATAAATACGATCCATGAGAAAATTTGCGTTAATCTCGAGAATGTAAGGTTTTCTGAACTGCAGCTGTAGATAACGATTAAACAAATTATTAGGTTGTACTGAAAGTTCCCGGGCACTTTTTTTTTTACAAATCGCTGTAACATCAAACAGGATTCTTTTCTGAAGCTACAAACTTCATTGCAAAGACAATTTTGTCTACAACATATGTTTGTCTTGCTGGCTTCTCAGCACTTCACTGCGGTCCAGCAGCATGCGCAGAAAGGAAAAAGGTCGTCGCGAAAAGTGGCTTATTCGTGCAGTCTCTTATCTCAGGCAGGATGAGAGCTAGAAAGCCCAGCCTGCTGTAGTTATATAGAGGGCTGTTGGAGCTGTTATGGGACCGCTCATGTTTTTGAAGGACCACCTGCAAAAAAATTTTCCCCAGAAAGTTTGAGAAATCGACCATTTTTTGCCCCTAAAAATGCGCCTTTTTTCGAGTAAGTGATTTTGAAATCTTCTGATTTTGCAAAGAAAGGACCAAATCTTTGATTACTGGGAACACTGTTGGAGTAATGTCTCGCACATCTTTTGGACCCATCATCCAGGCGCGGCAGTCCCTGCAGAAGCGACGCCTGCTGCGAAAAGAGTTGCAGTCAGAGGCAACTTTGACAGCTTGTAATTTCCGAGCGCAAATCGCAAAACTCGAGTGCACCGGCGGGTAAGAATTTAACAGGCTTCCTAATCAGATCACTCATGATTTGGACGAGATTCTTTGAATTTCACAAAAAATGCCCGTAGGAAAAAAATTGTGAAATTTTTGTGGTTGAAAAGATTTCTCTTCTTAACGTGCAGATCAAACACGTCTCAGCATCAATAAAAGTCAGAAGGCTTGTTGAAAACTTCAGGCTTCCCTCTACTGAGCAGTATAAAAAAACGTGGTGTTAAAGTTTGACCGAGCGCCAAAAAAATTCGTTTAAAAAGGAAATTTCCAAAAGTGCCCGGGAACTTTCTTTACAACCTAATATTTAACGCTACAAGGAAGAACGCTGCGCGCAAGTTTGCGAGTTTTCGTAAGTTTTATACTGATCGGAAATTTAGGAACAGTTCAAGCACATTTCTCGCCCTGCGCTAAAACTGCTCCGGAACTGTTGCAACCGCCCGGATGTGTTTTGTGTGGCGCGGTGTAACAATTTTTGACTTTATTCAACGGTTTTCTATATTTTGCTCGTTTTTGCCTCTTTCTTGCATGTCCCTTGCTTCGTGATGAAAAAGTTCCAAGCTCGAAAGGGTCACAAGAATGAGCGTTATTCGTTATGAACATCAGGTGTAAACTAATACTCTACCGCTCACAATTGTGTACATTGCTCCACTTCGCAGTTTCTTTGTTAGAAGCGAACAGTAAGAACGAACGAGTAAGCAGTATGAGTTGTGAGAAAAACTGGGCTGAGATGTTCAAAATCATCTAGTCAAAACACGAAGAAAAATGCGATCTCCGCAAAAGTGATGCTATTATCAGTCCTCTCTGGAGGCAGCTTGTGAAATCGAGGAGGCAGCGACATTTTAAAATACAAAAAGAAATTTCCACAGAAAATATACGAAGAAGAAGAAATGCGAAAAGGAAAATACATCTTTAACGCACGACTGAAGCTTCATTCTCGGACTCAGTTCGAGTTCGGAATTTTTTTCGTTTCAAGAAGAAGCAATTTAATCAAATTACGACTAAATTACTATCTCACATTTCCAGCAAGCTTGATAAGCTATTGCGAAATTTGCAGTTTGTGCTTCGAAGACAAAAAAAGACTAGCTGCCAGATAAACGCCATTGTATCTCACATTCCAACAAGCTTGATAAGTTTTGCGAAATTTGTAATTTGTGCTTCAAAGACAAAAAGACATCGCCAAATAAAACCATTGAACAAAACATTTCAATTTTTTCAAATTAGGTAGTGCAGATAAAGATTCCGAGTTGTACCAGGAATACACTGTTGACTTCATAAGAATGTCGCTAACGTTCCTAAACAGGTCTATCAGTTCGCACAAGCGGCTTACGCTTCATATCTATCCTTTTTGTATACGTGATCTAAGAATTCTCAGCAATTATACCGCTATTATACCGCTAATTTCAATGCTTGTGTCCAGCAAGTAATGAATGTATGGGAGCACACTTGTTCCCATGCCATAAAGAACATCCAAAAAAAACATACGTTCAAAAAAGCAAGCCTGTAAATGGCATAGTAATTTTTTCATTACTTGCATATTCTCTCTCACTAGAAATTCTTTAATTTTTCATGCAGGTCTTTTCTATAGTTAAGCGTCAATATAACTGCTCAACACAACCCGGGCTTGGTCACCTCCACTTTGCCCGTCCTGAATATTACGAAAACGCCGTTCTTCCTGCATCCCGCTATAGTCCTTTGCATTTTACTGCTTTCTTTACACAAGAGGTCTTGTTTTATAGTAGATATAATAGATATAGTAGATAATTTCAGCATAAGATTAGAGTATAGCCATATTGCACAAACCTTCCCTCTGCGATCCACCGTAATCGACTGACTTCTCCGCTTCCGTAAAAGCACCAGTCTAAACCACTTGAATGAGAAAGGAGTAACAAGGGAGGGTCACGTAGTTTCCGGTAAGCACAAAATGTATACTATTAGTGAAAGCTCAGCTGCTCATATCAAATCTGTTTTTCTTTCTGCAGAGCGATTTGGTGATAATAGGGGCACTATTTGGAAAAAAAATGAACTAATGGCTTGATAAAAATAACTGTCTAAAATAACTGTTACTGTATCCCTAGGCTTCAAATGAAGGACTAAAATGTAATGATATACTGAGCAGGGGAATATACCAAACCAAGTTGACATGAAAACGAATTACTCCAAGTTTGTCTTCCTTCTTTGCAATGCAAGTTTCCGAAAGAAGTTATGAGCGTTTAAGATTCCAAATTTGACAAGCATCAAGTGGCATGGAATTAACGAAACCTCCACAAAAACACTTATGCAGTTTTTTACTGGCTGTGTTCCTTTCTTGCAGTCATATACCCTATTTTCCGGCTTATAAGCCGCACCTTATATAAGCCGCACCCGCCGCAGCGAACAATGGGGCGAAAGAGCCTTCGAAAAGAAAGTTTTGATCTAACAAACTGAAAACTCGCTGCATTTTGTGACTGCTTTTCATTGCGCATGTTCACGTTTTCAGATATTTCTTTATTCTTTACAGAGATTCGGACGATTTTGGGGTGTCTGGGTTGTGTTTTTTTCAAGGATACAATGGAGTTGACCGTATTTCTTGTTTCTAGATATGTTACTGAGGTTAAAGCTGCTGCTAGTTTATTTGATTTCAATGACTGTTGGTGATGAAGTTGATGTTTTAATGGTGCTTTCAATGCTTCCACAAGAAAGAGCGAAAGCAGTAAGTTGCAATCAGGCTACTAGGCAAAATAGGTGGTAATTGGCTGCTTGCGCGGCTTCGCACATCGCAGCCATCATCTCGCAACAGCCCGCGCGCGACGAAAATAAATGCGGCTTATACGCCGGAAAATAGGGTACTTGACACAAAACTGGCAGCTCCTCACTCAGCTTCTCAGCTCACTCGTTTCATGCCACTCAAGGCTCAAAGGCAGCGCCCAAGCAAATTTCGCCTTTCGTGTTTTTCTCGCTCTAGGCCTTTCGGCCTTGATTACAGTTATAAAGTTCAAAATGTCCAAGACCCTCAAAATCCCACTTTGAGGGCGCGGACGAGTTTCGATTGTTCATCTCCTCGGCTCGCCAGCGGGGAAGAGCTGCAAGTGCATGGGGGCAGTTACACTCCATGATCGACCAATGCGTGAGCACAGGTTCTCCGGGGGAGGTTTGTGATACGAAAGGTTGTTTGTGATACGTACCACAAGCCCATATCTCCTTTTAGAGGCCACGTCAAAGGATCGGACCAACGCAGATTGGATGCTCATGGACCCTCTTTACAACTATTGCTAACCTGGGTGGGTGTGTTTTTCCTGGACGTTGCCTCCAACAATTTTGAACTTTCAAACGCTCATAACTGCTTTCGGGGAACTGGGCAAAAAAAGAAAAGCGGGTTCGAAACCAGAGTTCAGAGGCGCGTCTATATAATACACTTGTCTCTAGTCGCCAACTTGAATTGGTATTCTTCCCTTGCGAGCAGGGAGTTTGTTGTACCGAAAATCGTGATAAGTCTTTTTTTAATATAAGGCCTAAAGAAGCTGTAACGATTGATAAACCGATTATTAGTTCATTTTTTGACCAAGGTAAACTCCTCTCACGCAGCGCTCTACAGGTAGAAGAAGCAGATTTGGAAACGGCGTTTCGAGCTTTCATTAACGGTGTGCAGATTATAGAGATAGGCTGCTTTGGCTTTTGTCACTCTTTTGTTATCTCCTCCTCGTCCGTTATTGCACAATCCAAGAAGATGTACAACTACTTTTACCGCTTTTTGTATTACCGATGATCCCTTCGGCTAGCCGTCTCTTTTTTGAAGTTTTCTTTCTTCAAAGTTAATGAAAACGACTTAAAGCTGTACTGCTTATGCAACCTAGCAGTGGCAAGCATTTTTCTAGAAACAAATAAATTGCTTGTATATCAAGATTTTTGATGAAACACAAGTTTTAGTCATGATTTAATGAAGTTTTCGTCACTTTGGCACTTTGTTCCTATGAGAAAAATGATTACCACTGTTGGGTTAAATAATTAGTGCAACTTCGAAATTTTTCATTCACTTCAAGGGAAGAAAAATGACTTTGACAAAACACGTCGGAGATTACCAGCGATGATCTAAAGCAAGAAAATCAGCTTATAACAGCATCTTGCATCTGTTTAGCATGTTCATAGTGAGGGGTATTAGGAACAAGTGAGGATGGACGGGCGGCGTGTTTTAATTTTAGGTTGTCTCCCTTCCCGACTGAAAGGGATATTGCTCCGGATTTAAGGAGAGGAGATCAGTACCAAAACTAACTTGTACAGTAGTATACAGTATTGGGTGTACAACGGAGCTATGTGAAGTGGAATTAAGAAGCTTATGGAAATGGAGGATGCTCACCTTTCCAGATTAGCATGGCAGTTGCCGTCTGGTCTTGGGATGGCAACTGCTATCCTAATTTGGAAAGCAACTGCTATCCTAGTTTAGGAAAAAGCTGGGCACGCCTTCTACTCGCATTTGTTTTCAATTTTACATTACGCATAAACACCAAGTTTGGAGCCATATCAATGCCTCGCAAAGTTACTCTTAATGCTCAGTGGTAAAATGTTAATCTAGCCACACCTTTTGACATAATTGTCCCGCGAACTTTCAAAGTTAATTTTCAATTTTCTTTATTCGTTTGTTCAATTAGTGTCATTTTGTTACATATGTGCGCTGCAAACAAAGAAGTTTGTACTTTCTACAAGAACAATTTGGTTCTCGAAAAGACTTGAAGGCAGCGTACACCCAAAGTCTAGCCCTCGATGTTTTTGTCATTCTGGGGCCTTTCCATGCCTCTAATTACAGTTATGACATAATCCTCCAAAAGTCCCCAGAAACCCCGATTCCCGGGGACCCTCTCTTCAGAGGGCGGAAATCGAAGTTTTTTGGGACTTTTGGAGGATTTCGAACTGCTCGTTCTCTCGGCATGCCAGCAGCTGCAACAGCATGACAGCCTGCCGTTGCAACTGCGACTGCTGCGTATGCTGCCATGGTTCGTCGTCCGAGGGAGGCGGACTGCAAAAAGCAACTACACTGTTGCAACTGCAAGCAACTGTAACTGCAGCTTACGCTGACGTGGATTTCGTCCGAAGGAGGCGGAGTGAAAGAAAAAGGGGCGGAATGAAAGAAAAATCAGGCGAGTTTTCCCCGCATAGAAGCAACATTGGGGGACCGGACCAACGCAGTTAGTCTTTTTCTGGGCCCTAGATATACACAGTATAGATAATTGGGTAACTTAGATTTTGGTTGTATGCTGCCTTTAGCAATATTTCGCAAGCAATCGCGTAAAGCCTTGCTCATTACGGATCTGAACATGTTTAGGAAATACTGGATGTCCCAAAAGTATGTATACATTGTTTGATCGTTAATATCTCTTTTCCCAAGCAGTCTTTTGCCAATCTTCAGGTATCATTTTGTAGAGCTGCCTTCAACTTAGATTTTACACTATGAAGCGAACTACCAATCGGTCTTTACTGTAAAATTACGGTAGAACCTTCAGCTTGAAGCGCTAGTGTAGATCAATCGTGTTTTAATGAAGTTTCCAAAAAATTTAAAAGTGGTGTATCGGATATTCAAGCGCGCTTATTTTACTACTCGACTTCTTACGAGTTTGCAAAGCTTTTCAAATAGCGTAATCACGGTTCTAAGAAACATTGTATAAAACAACTATTGATAATTTGTGAAGGAAGCATTGCGGTAGAGTGCAGACTACATATTTGGATTAAGCTGCTCGAATTGGCCTAGTATAAAAGTTTTCTGGTTGTTTGGTTTGCTTCCTGAGGCGGAATAGGGCCCCTAATGACTAACAACCCTTTTGAAGTTTCTAAAGTAATGCTACAGTAATGAGGAGCAATTCGTTCCATGTCGTACATTTAAGATGAGGCCAGCTCTACAAAGGGGGCCTGGGGGCAGGCAAAGACTTTTTGAGAAAAGAGATATCAATGAATAAACAGTGTATACATACTTTTGAGACACCCTGTTTAGTGCATGTGAAGGTGTTCTAGGTATTACCTTACTTTTGTCGCCAGAACAACTTCTAGCTTGCAATGGTTTAGGCAAGCATCATTTGAGACTTTGGAATAAGGTGATGCAAAAAATAAGGTCGACGTGGTAGCTCCTTATGTACATTTATACTAATGTTCAGGTAAATCGCATATGTAAATTCCACTTCATACATCAACTATGCTATATGCTGAGACAAAGGCGGCACCAGAAGCGAATGAAGTGGATGAGGTGAAATAAGGCTGTGACCAAGAATTCAATTCAGACTAACTGGTGAACATATGACCTCAATAAAGTGTTGAAAAATAAATTGAAACGAACTCAAGCAACGCTTCAAAGCTTTGCTTCTGGCACAATGTTGAGCGCGTGAATATACAAAAGTAGTGTACGTTGTCAAAAAAGCATCCATTCTCTTTGATTTATTCAAATGTTGAAAGGTAGATGAAGTAAAATGTGCAGAACACGCCTGTTTCACTCTATAATGTAGCACAGGAAGCAGAAAACGTAATTTGTAACAGAAACCCAAATTAAAGCAGCTAGTTTTTTCAATTCTTATCTGTTCTGACTTACATTATTATGATGCCATGAAAAGGCGATTATGCCAGCACAAAATTGCCACATTCTTGCAAATACGCTGTTGAAGGCAGTGTTATTATCAGCATAGAAGTAAAATTCCATAGAAGCAAGAGCAATCCCTCAAAAAAAAAACTCATCGAATGCAAAACAGATTTATTTGGAGTTACTCACCTGAAAAAAACGTTATTTTTCGAAAGGGTAGCAGGCTTTGAACGTAGAAGAGTAAGGGGACAAGCAAATACCATTGAATTTCGACGCATAGTGACCATGTATGTGTAAAAAGATCTACCGCATTCGTCAGCTTAACATGCATACATCACTATGAGTGGGTCTTCTATTGTCATACCATTTCTTCATACTCTTTTAAAGGCTCCTTTTTCGAAATCTCAATGTTCGCAGTAAATGTTAGTGCTCTACGCGACCGAGGCAGGTTGAGGGTTCGGTAGGTAGGTAACTCTAGTATCACGAGTAGAAGTATTGCAAGCAATACCATGTAATACAGCGGTAGTATTCGCTTGATTCTAAATGTGAAAAGTTTTCAATCTTATTAGGAACAGGCTGATGCAAGGCTGTTCAGCATCATCACTTCCGATGTGTTTAGATTCTAAAACAGCTAGAGATTAGAGAAATTTTAAAGTATTTTGTAAGATAAAATGGAACATGTAAGCCTCACATCCGAAGCTGAGATTCAAGTTGCAAAGGCCTGAATTTTGACTTGCAAAGGAAAATCTTGCATGACGAAATTATGAGGTAGGTTTAGTAGTCAAAGCAAGAATGAAAGCGCTTGATGAATTAACATTCGCTCAACAATTCTTATGTTGACAAGAATGTATTATGAGATTAGGTTGTCTTGATTTTTGAGAGTTGTCTAAAGCTAACACTGTTCATAGATAAATTTGATTTCCTAGATTTTCTTTCAAAGTGATGAATGTTTATGTGCAGCGTTGTTAGTTGTTTTCAATTCCACAAAACAGTAAACAAATGCTGTATCTTCTCTGCTTTGAAAACTATAATTCTGGGAAAAATGAGAGCGTTCGGAAGAAAGCAAATGTCAGAAAGGTAATGTTTCTTCATGAAAAGGTACCGTTCCACATGCATACTTCACCTTCTATAGTAGAAGTCCGAAAGAGACGCCATGCATATACATTTATTCCTGGTGATGATCATAGCCATGAGAAAGCCGGATACAACAAAAAACCTATAAATTTGTCAACATCAAAATACACTTCTGCAAATAATGCACGGAAATCACGCAAGGCTTTAGGTAATGATTATCATTTTACATTCGAATGAGCTTCTAGTAACGTAAATAAATACTAAATAAATCTAAATAAATAATAATAAATAATAATAAATAATAATAAATAATAATAAATCTCTAAATACTTACACGTCAACTCCGACATAGCCATTGGGACAGTGAACCGGAAAGAAATGGAACGCAACCACCATTGTAATTGCCCACCCACGTATTCCCTGTATATCCTGCCTTTTCTGTGGCGTCGCCCTACAATGAAAACCAACTAGATATATCGAATGTTCGCTGTTTTCCGAGTAGATTTATTTATACATATTACTTAGTCAAAGTATTCATCAGGTGAGGTGTTTCCTTACTAGCGGTATTGTATTAGTAGCTAGAAAATGTACTCTCTTCTATATAGCAATGTATTCAAGAGCGATGCTTCAGCGCTAAAAGTTGCGTTCTGCATCAAATTAAAGCAAACAAGGTGCTTTAGCCGCTGTTGTTACGCTAGCCTCTATCCTGTTTTAGCGCTTGAATGAAGATGAGGTAAAATGCTTTAGTTTTCTTTGCAAAAAAAGTAAACGATTTTTGGTGCCCGAAGTGCGGCATAGAACGGCCACGGCGCGTTTGTGGAAGACGACTAATCTGAATAAGGTACTGCTCGCATAAGTTTTCAGGCTCCACAAGTCTGGGATACTTTGTAAATATAACTCTTCAATATAACAAGACTGTCTTTGCACTGTAAACAGCCATTTGTTCATTCGCGACAACTGGTGCAAAAACGTCGGCTAGGTAAACATGAGGACCAAGGAGAACGCTTCTGACGCTGCGAATATAGCCACACGCAGCGTAAAACTCTTCACAAATAATTGCTCTAATCAAGTGCTTTTTAGACAACCCATTATTGCCCTTTTTAGAGCAGATTAATGAAAACTGGCTAATTTGTTCTGTTGATAGCACAAGGAAGCCTTCATCAAGGAGAACGCCAACGTCGTTTCTTCTTTCGAATGAGCTTTGACCGTTCTGAAAGCATTTTGCTCAGTTACCTTTCTCTTGCTTTTCTTTAAATTTTACCAACAAGCTGTATTTTATCTGATTAAGTCTGCCGCATGACAATACCGTCGAGCTCAGCTTTCCGATCGAATGCCATAAAACTCTTTTGTACGCTTGTCTTCGCAATCATACAATTACACACTTTCTTTGCCTACAGTGAAAGCAAGTTCGCTGCTGTCAAGCTTGAATCAGCCACTGGTTTTGGAGAGGTGCAAAAAATGCATGTGAAAATGCATTTCTAGATTCTAAATTTTTCTTCGCTGAATTACAAAATCGCGCCTAAAACCTCACCATTGACAAAATGATGTGCGGGCTGCTGATAAATTTTCGAAAAATTAGGGGGTAGGGTCAAGGCTACGCTGTACTTGGAAGGTTTACCCAGGTCCTAATTGCCAGTTTTGCTCACAAAAGGACAAGCGCGATCTAAGCAGGACTATTTCTCCGTTTCCGTTCATCGATCCAACTGCTTCATATTTGCACTATTACTGGAGAGAATAAGCTTCGTTATTGACATGCTTGCATGAAACACTGTAATGGCGCTACCAGCTAGCTTGGGAAATGCTTTAAAGAGATTATCCAAACATACCTCGGCTCTGCTGTCTCTGCATTTGGAATCCTTTTCTCACCCTCATCGTACGTTGCTGTAAAAATTACACTGGTCAGTTTTTGAGACACTATTCTATGATACTAATCAGTTCCCACCTAGCGATGTAATCAAGAGCTCACGGGACATGGTGTCGTTCTGGACGTGCTAAATAAAGTAGTGACGCTTGTCAAATCTCTGAAGTTGAAAATGCTTCAGTTCACTTGACAAAACTGTTTCAGGATTTGGCACAGCTGCTTTACGAGCTAACTGTCAATAAAAAAAATCGCTGCTTTCACTGCAATTATTTAGGGACAAAACTTTCATATCAATCCTCAGAAGGAGTTCAAGTAACGATTCGATAGAGTAAACCTTATAAAATACAATACTACTTTTTTCTCTTTCTCTTAGCTCGCCGAAATTTTTTGAAAGATTTTTTGACAGAACTATCGGATTTTGGCAAGCCCACGTCAACCACAATCGCATCAAACATCATAATTTTCCGGAATTTGAGGCTACCGAGATGGCACTATGAGTTAGCATTAATTTTACAAAGCAAGTGAGGGTTTACGGGTTCGAAATATCAAATTTCGAGTTTTTCGGGTACAGCCTGGGGCTCACTAAAAAAAGAGTTATGATGATTTCTCCCCGGAAACTAAACGAATCGGAAACAAAAAAACACCTGTTAGAAAGAGGAGAAAATGCTGCATCGAACAGTGCGCGAGCTGTTCTTCCCTTGATGTTCTACGAGAATTTAGCTACCCAAGTATGGAAATTGGTAGCATCAGTTAAAATTTTGTTAAAAATGTATGACAAGCTATGGAAAGGAGAAAAAAGTAGTACTGTATTCTATACGATTTACTCTATCAAATCGTTACTTGAACTCCTTCTTAGGATTGATATGAAAGTTTTGAAAAATCGTGAAACATGACCATCTCAAAAAGCATGGGTCGCAGATTTTGGTTATTTTCTGAAAGCTATTGATTGTTTTGCAACAATTTCGTAACCATTAGAAAGAGAATGAAATGCTGCGTCGAATGCTTCCAAGAGCTCCTAAAAACCTTTGTTTCATCGCCCGTTTGAAAAAAGCGAAATTACTTTTGAAACGACCTAATATTTATTTTCGAAAAGGTTCTTTTACAAGAAATGTCTTTATGGGAAGTACAACTGTTGTGTGCAAAGCCAAGGTAGGTTTTATTACTAGCTAGCTTAGAGTCAAATTCTACCTTGAGTGCATAGTGGAAAGTTGGACGAGAAATAATACTGAGGTAGATGCCAACCTTAAGGTAAATTAATGAAGGATAAAAACGGGTTTTTGCGTTTTGGTTTGAGGCTGATTTTAAGGTTAAAGGCTTAACCCACGAGAAAATTCCGTTGCGATCATTTCGTGAGTACGGGTTATAAGCCAAAATGCTAGCTGAGGCATAATTTGATTTCAAGGGGTGGTTGTGAATACGGCTACTGGTTGCTTACTGTTAATCAAGAAAATATAAAGAAATCAAAGAGTCCCATTACTTTTCGACCAGCCTAATATCTTAGCCATTCATTTAAGACCACTTATAAGAAAAGATTTTTAGGGTAAATGCAGCAAAAACGAGATTCTCTGGCTTGGGAGTAGGTTCGTATCCGAAATGTTGTGCGAAACAAACACAATTGTTGACATTCAAAGATTCGAAACTCTTTCATATTGGACCTATTGGCTAAGCGAGCACTGTGCATGTACGTGAACTCGAATGTTCTTATTTGAAATACGGAAGTGCAATAGAAACGTCGAGATAGAACACATTTTCTTAGCATTTTGAATGACGATACGATTTAAGGCACAATGTAGAAGATGACCCATTGTCGGAAATCAAAGCAGCGTGCTATCATCATGGCACAAAGCCCACTAAGAATGCTGATTGCAACACCCACGGTAGACTCAAAGTGAAGGATTGCAAAGTAAATTAGAGTAATTTCTTGACGAAAAGTTAAAAGCTACGACTGCTATACGGTTCACAAAGAATTGTCGATTCTAAGAGAAGTTCTTCCCATATTCTAATGTGAGAATCAGTTTTGTGAGAATATTCGATGGTTTATATGTCGTCTGTGCCCTTTTCAATAGTGACTGGGAAAAGAGCGGTAGCAATTAATTCTAAAATAGAGGTGGCATTCCACTATTTGGGCGAAACGATTCGTTGCTTAGAGCCGCATGAAAAGTAGGCATATACGTGGCAAGCTTTACTTGCCATGGTGACCAGGGTAAAGCGTGGGATGTGGCGCGCCACACCTGGGGGTCGTGCGAAGGAGTCAGGCAAGGAAGGGGTCGTAGTCAAGGTGAGGAAGAGGTATTCAACGAAAAAGGGCTATAAAAATGCATGAGCAAAGAGCGGCGTGTCGTATGCTAAATCAAATAAGGTTAGCAATACAGATGAACACCATAGCCATGAACAACATGCTGAAAAATCCTACTATGCGAGACGTTCCCTGAGATACCAACTTGTCAATGTGTACTCATAGTAAGTTAGAAGAAGGCAGTGACAAGCAAAAAGAGTAGTACTCTCGTTAACAGCATGTCAAAAAACACATATGCACTAATTTTTACCAAACTCTGAGGTTCCCAAATATTGAGCCACACAAGTGAAATGATCATTTTCAAACATGATTAACTATGTCTCAAAGGCGAGCTAGCTATCTCTTCTTGTGCTAAGTACAATGCACTGCTCCTTATTTGCTCATTAGCAATTTCGTCTCAAACAACTGTCAAACTATGGATTAAGGAACCAGCCAAAACCCATCTTTCACTTTCATTAGTTTTAATTGCAGCAACTGTTACGCAGAGTAAAGAAAACGAACCGTCAAAACGATCCTTTAAATACTGCGAGGCCTAGGCTATCGAACTCCCTAAAAGAAGATATAGAGCATTTTCCTTACCCACCCTCATCTTAGAAATCGGGAAATCGCTTCAAAAATAATGGCCTACTATAGCGCGCTGAATATGACCTACGCCTACTGCAAGGAAAAAGCGCGAAATTGACCGATCCGAAACATTCTTTATATTGCTAGTACATCGTATTGGTGGTTTGAGGATTTCACTCGATTCCATGTTACTTCTGTTGCAGATACTTTTCAAAGCAAGTTCTGGTTTATCCGTAGATAAAGGAAATGTCGCAGCAGCATCACTCGCCATCATACTTCGAACAATCACCCCCAGCGAATGCGTAACTTGTATGTTATCTTGATAATTTTTATCTTGATTGCTTTTGTACACCTTACTAAGTTTACTTAACATTCTTTCGGGTGTTGCCGTTTCTT